TAGTTGAAAGGATATTGGGTACGATTAAATACTTGTAGAATTAGTGATTGATCAAGATGGAATCTGTCAACTCTTGGTAATGAGTTTAAGCTCCATGTTGTCATGAATTATAAATGACCAAATTAAGACCTTGGTCAGGGCAATTGAATGAAAAGAAGAAAAGAGTTTCTTAGGTCATTCAATGGTCGATTATATTTGACATGAACACATAGTTGGTCGCCTATTAGGATTTGACAGTTGAACCATATCCTAGGTTGATCCAGAGCTATAAGGACAGAAGGAATTACTACATTATTCTTCTACTGGTTCTTGAGAGTAAATTGTATACTTCATATGTTGCTAGACGCCACCCTTGATTAGTATATTGATATGATCAATTTACTACCGGTTTAGTATTGAACCTATGGGGTAGCGCACTAACGAGTGTTCTGATCTTTGCTAAAGGATTGATTACTTTAGTATTTGATAATTAAATTAAAGAATTTAATTAGTCAAGTAAGATAAAGTTATTAGTCCAAATGAAATATTATTATACTCTTTGCTAGCACAGAGGATATAATTAATATTGTGAACAAATTGAAGTTTTCTATTTGTGGGATAGAAAATTAAATTATATCTCTTGGTTGAAATATATATATGATCAATCCAATTAAGAATTGGATTGACGTGAAAGTCACCGTCGGTTATTTCATCCCATAAGAATGGGATTGGTAATTTTAATATAAATTATTACTTGAACTCCAATTTAGAATTGGACAGCATCTTCACGTCAAAGTCCTTAAGGATGTTGGTCACGTATTAATCCCTTTGGAAGGAAATCTAATATTTTGCATTAAAATATTATGGTAAAGTTTATTTTTGGAATAAACTTTTACCCTAAGCAAATCATTACCTCAACCAAATAGGAATAGGGTTTATAGGTGATGCTATATAAAGGGTGATGGAGAAAATTTGTCATTATTAATTCTTGAGAAGAAAAACCACTTTATGAAAGTGAGAATACAATACAAAGCCAAGAGAGAAAATACAATTGCAAGAAAAGTGTTTCTTGTTCTTCTACCTTTGAGTTGGGATTTTTGAGAAAAATTTCAACACAATATTTCGTTCAATTTGTTCGCGGGACAAAGAGTTGATAGCAAGGATCGGTCTCGGTGTGGATACGCATAGAGTCTTCGCACTATCGAAGAAATTTTGAAACGAGACTTTCTTCACCAGGTACGTCTTAGATCCGATCTATTGACATGTAAATAAATTTTAAACACGAAAAGATCTTCCTAGGATTGTTATTGTCTTCCGCTGCATGTTACGAACACCTACACGCAATCCTGCATTCTACACTTTCGATACAAAATTATTTAAATAGTTATTTAAAATAGACGACGGTGGTGCTTTCCAATATAACTCAAACTTGGGAGACATGGGTGGTGTTTTCAGAAACAATAGAGGAGACTGGTTAATGGGTTTCCAACACTCCAATCCATCGTCTTCCCCTCTCCAATCTGAACTAGAAGCTTTAAGGATAGGGCTTTCAATAGCGCTCAAAAATGGTTACTCCACTAATTGTGGAAACAGACGGAACGGAGCTTATAAAAATCTTACATTCAAATGCTATGCCTTACAACTCTATTATTACTGATTGTAGATGGTTAATGCACCAGCTGAAGCATCCGAAGATCATCCATAATTTTCGGGAAGGGAACAAGGTGGCTCATAAAATGGCCTAGGAAGGACTTAAGCATGCAAGGAAAAACTAACTTTTTGTCAACCCATTGCCTCTAGTATTAAATAATCTAGCAATGGACAGAAATGGTTATGTGTATCTGACCAAAAAACTCAGTATTAATGCGTGTCTCAATTTAGCAGAAATGGGGAATTTAAATGTCCTTGAGGCTTGTTGTTTTATTAGGGATGTAACTGTCAGTACTCTGTAATGTTTTTATAATATATTATCTTTTCCCGTTAAAAAAAAATTCATACATTTTGAACGTCAAAAATCATTCCATACAAACCATCTTACATGCATCTTTGCCACTAAGTATAACGTCAAAGATAATTCCATATATTAATTTGAAGTAAAAAGAATAGCTTCTTACGTGTTATCTTTTTGAATTTTAATCATCTTGTAATCTTAAAATTCATCATAAAGTAGAATGTCAAACAATTTCTACAGTTGAGTAATTTAAATATATTTTAAAGTGAAAAATGTGTTGGCCAACGTGGACGTGCAATTTTTTAAGTTTAATACAATTCCTTTAGCGTCCTTAGGCTTAGACCTGCATTATTTAGGACTTTCAATATTGATTGATATGTGGCTCTTCCTTAGGTACACTTTCTCAAATAAGCTTAAACCCAATTTTTTTGTGTGTTCACGAGTACCTACTTGTCTTAGCCAATAAATTTGCTCATATTTTGTTGTGCAGTTTCTTTAATATTAAATATGATTAGTGAATTTTGTTGCAATAGATTTAGTTTGCTGAATGAGCAAACATATTGCTTTTAAACAGGGATATTATCACTTTTAACCTGCGCCGGAAACTATTTACATCTGGTAGCCGAAAAAATGTATAAAACTTGTATGATTTTAAGTATATAACATACAGAATGTATATAGTTTATACATTTTTTGACTATCATTTTTACAGCAGCTATACAATGTCATTTTTCCTTTTAAGTTTGACATCCAAGATATTTGGCTTTTAATATTTTTTTTTGGTAATTAAATCTTTATATTAACCACCAAAGTAATATTTACAAATCAGTAGGTCATCTCAACCTAACTTCCATACTGGGTACAGTCAGCTATCCTCCGTCTAATTGTCTATCAACTATATCTATTAGTAATTACATTTTGCTAACAAAACTTTAGTATACCCCTCAGCTCTCATACTACAAACACATGCCACCTTCTTTGCAAGAATGTCCCATGTTGTAGCTGTTTTTTCAAAGACTCTTGCATTTCTTTCTATCCACAAAGTATACACGTATTCTGCAACTACCATTTTGAGTATTCTAGCCATTTGCGATCTTCCCTTCGTCTTCTGTATTATCCATTGCTGTCATTCTGTCCATGAAGATAAGCTAACTTGCATTTGAATCCATTGCATGAGCCTGCTCCACAAATCTCTGCCATATGCACATTCTGCAAACATATGCTCTTTTGTTTCCAAAGCTTGTTTACAAAAACAACATAGGTCATCTACTTGAATCTTCCATTTCTTCAGCCTATCAGCAGTTTGGAGTCTTTCATGCATCAGCAACCACAGTATAAATACTGCTTTTGGTCTAGCCTGGTTTTGATACATTAGTCCCTTTCATGCTACCTTTGGCATCTCCCCTATCAGCTGCATATATACCTTCTTGATCACTGTCTTTTGTTTATCTTGATTGTCATTAATTCCTGCCATATTATTTCTTGCTTCAAATATTTTCTTCAGCATCCATGATGTTTGTTGTGGCACCCTCATAGTATAAAAAGACTGATCTTTAATGTAGTAACTATGGATCCATTTAATCCACAGTTTGTCCTTCTTATTTGCCAGCTCCCATGTATACTTTGTTATTGCTGCTTTGTTCCACGATGCCAGATTAACCAGGTGTAGTCCCCCTGTAGCTTTTGGTGAACACATCCTCTCCCAAGATACCAGTGCCTTTTTTGTAATTACATTCTCCCCTGACCAGACATAACTTCTGCAATAAGCCTCAATTGTCTTGACCACTTTAGCTGGCATGATGAAAATTTGAGCCCAGTATGCTTGGATACCAAAGATAACATGCTGAACCAATTGAATTCTACCTGCATATAACAACTTCCTAGCTGTCCAAGATGAGATTCTTGCTACTATTTTGTCAATAAGTGGCGGCCATTGCATGATAGATAGCTTCTTGGAGTCAAGGGGGATGCCCAAGTATTTAAAAGGCAATGACCCTTGGCTGTACCCTAGTTTTCTCTGAATCTCCTTTTGAACCTCCTCACTGACTCCTCCAAAATAGATAGAACTTTTTGCTAGATTAGCACTAAGTCTTGAAGCTGCTGAAAAGATCTGAAATCTATCATGAACTTGACTTGCTGAGGTTATACCTCCTCTTGCAAAGATCAGAAGGTCATCTGCAAAGCTCAAGTGAGTTAAGTTCAGCCTTGCACACAAAGGGTGGTGATGGTATCCTTTCTCCTGCTTTAAGGTCTTTAAACTCCTGCTGAGATATTCCATAGCTATGGCAAATAAAAAGGGTGACATAGGGCCCCCTTGTCTCAGTCCCCTAGCTGCATCAAAAGGCTTTGTTGTTTCACCATTAACAAGAATTGTGTAATTCACTATTGTCACACACTCCATGGTCCAGTTGATGAATTTAGTGGGAAATCCCAGTGCCTCCAACATTTGATGCAGGTATCTCCATTCTACCGTGTCATAGGCTTTTTGGATGTCCACTTTGATAAAGCATCTAGGAGAGATATTCTTTCTAGAGTAGGCTTTGACTAGTTCATGAGCAAGAATCACATTATCTGCAACCTTTCTTCCTGGGATGAATCCAGCCTGAGTCTCTGAAATAATGGATGCAATGACTTTCTGTATTCTATTAGCAAGAACCTTAGCTATCAGTTTATACAGCACAGTGCAGCAAGCTATAGGTCTATATTCTCTGATGTTAGTGGGTTTTGGGACTTTAGGCAGGATAGTGATGGCTGTACAGTTCACTGCCCTATACAACTTCCCTGTGACAAAGAAGTTTTTGACTGCTTGATAAACTTCATCTGCTATTATTGGCCATCCTTTCTTGAAAAATACTGCATTGTAACCATCTACCCCTAGAGCTTTATCATTTCCAATTGCACTTAGCCCTTCATATATTTCATGCTCAGTAACTTCTGCCACTAAGTTTATGTGCTGTTCGTGATTAAGAACCGGCCCATTCTTCATTATTTCTCTATTGACTGCTGGTAAATTTCCTATTGTTGATCCCATCAATGCCTTGTAGAAGCTGATAATCTCTGTTTGTATCTGCTACTGGCCAGTTAATTTGTTTCCAAAGCAATCTTGTAGTTCTGTGATCACTTTCCTTTGCCTTTTTTCCTTCATTATTGCTGAAAAGTATTTAGAATTAGCATCTCCAAGTCTTAGCCATGTAGCTCTAGCCTTCTGTTGCAGTATGCTTTCTTCTATTAAGGACCATTTCTCCAAATACTCTAGAACTTGTTTTTCCTCATTAGCTAGTTTATCTAAATAACCTTTTGATATTTGAGCTTGAATATCCTGCAGCAAACTCCTAGTTGATTCCAGCTTATCTGTGATGCCCTTGAATTCACTATTGTTGAGCTGCTTCAGCAAAGGTTTTAGAATCTTCAGCTTTTGCCATATATTCTTCATAGAGTCCTGATCTTGTTGTTCTTTCCATACTTCTTCTACCAGTGGCATAAATCTTGGATGTTCTGCCCAGACATTAAAGAATCTGAAAGGGATCTTGCCATTTGGTACTTGCCTTCTGATAGAGATAACCATTGGAGCATGGTCTGAAATAAATGGGAGCCTATATTCTGCTTCCATATGCCCATACTCTTGCATCCATTCATCATTCCCTAAAGCTCTATCAATCCTGCTATATACTCTATCTGATCCTTGCTGTTTATTTGACCATGTATAGTAGTCTCCCCTCCAAGCCAGCTCATGTAAATTCAGAGTCTACATACACTCATTGAAGCCTTGTATTTCATTCCTTGTAACTATTTTCCCACAGATTCTGTCTTGAATTGTTAAGACAGAGTTAAAATCTCCCCAGATAATCCAAGGTTCTGTGTTCTGAGGTGCATCAGTCTTCAATTGCTGCCATGAAGGTTTCCTTTCTTCTATAGTATTAAAACCATATACTACTGTCATGAGACAGTTTATATTATGGTGCCTGCGTACAACTCTACCGTGAATTGTTTGAGCAGATTTACCTAACACCGTAATGTCATAACTTTGAGGATCCCAAAGTATCCAAATTCCCCCATTTATTGCATATTCATAGTTATATTGAGCTTGCCATCCAGGTGTCACTAACTGTGAAATCTGAGTTGCTTTTTCCTTCTTTACTCTAGTTTCCACTAACCCCACTAGCTTTATATTATTCTCCTTTATATAGGTACCTAACTCCTTTTGTTTGTATCTCTTGTTGGTACCTCTTATATTCCATGCCATCCAAGACATGTCAATGTTGAGACTGCCCACCTATATTAGGTGGTTTTAAGATTGCTATCACAGCTGTACTCTGGCTTGTTTGGGGCCTTTGTTTCACTAGGGACATGATTGCTTTGGCATAGGTCATTTGAGTGTCATCTGCCTTCATTTTCCCTTTATCCACTTGTCTGCTTGTTTCTATTGCTTCCTCTTCTTTTTGATGATCTTCCTTACTTTCAGTTAGCTTAGAAACATTCACAACTTCCTTGCTGGTTTCTTCACCTTGTTTCTGATTCACTTCATCTGTTGTAACTTTAGCTGGCTCCTTTGTTCTCCATATTTGTTTTACTGGTGGTGGCTTCCTATTCCTGGGCTGAGGAATTTGTTTATCACTTTCCTTTGGGATTCTACTGCAATTATGTCCTGCCTTTAAACACTTTTCACAAAACTCAGGTTTCCAATCATATTCAACTGCTTGTTCAAACATCACCCCTTCATCATTCATGATTGGGATACTAGTTGGCAGAGGCTTTGTAACATTCACTTCTATCAGGATTCTAGCGTAGGAGATTTTTGTCTGTTTAGCAGTACACTCATCTGCAAACATAGGGATCCCTATTGTACTTGCTATTCTACTCAGTGAGTTCCCACTTCAACAGTTCATGGGAAGCTTTGGGAACCTTACACATAGTGGAATATCTGTCAAGAATTCTGCTGCAAAATCAAAGTATGGAGACCAGTGTTTCATTATCATTGGTCTTCCATTCACTGTATAAGGCCCAGCACACATGATTTCCTTCATTTCTTCCAAATAATGAAATCTCACAAAATAATATCCCTCATCATGATAGAACAGATATGGCATGGCAACTGTGTTCCACATCTGATTGATGTACCTTTTCATATAGTTATATCCTGGTTTCTCACCCAAGACAGACTATCAAAGCACTCTTCCATTTCAGATTTTCCTGCTCAATTTCTGATTTCTCAAGTTTAGCTACTAAATTTCCTTCTACAATTTCAGGGGTAATGTAAGTCAGTGTCATACCATTTGCTGCAGATCTATTTCCTGTGAGTACATTAGCCCAGGTAGATTCTGTAGAGGTAGCTTGCTTTTGCTCTTTATTCATCAATGGAATAGTAACTTCAGCTGGAGTCTTAGCTATATTTTCCTGTTCTTTGCTCAATGGAACAATAATCTCTCGAATTGCAGGTGGTGTAATGCTTCCTCGTAAATCAACATGCATAGGGATTGGGCTCTGATTTGCTTGTTTTTGTTGTTGTTTAGCTGATCCTGAAGCTTCTCCATGGTAGATCTGTGTTGGAAGTACAAATCCAATCACCTTCGATGCTCCAGAAATGCCAATCACCTTCGATGCTCCAGAGATGGTTTCCATGAACTTTGTTGCACTCCTTTCCAAGGTGTTGAGCTTAGGAATTTTATCATCTACACGAATTTGTTGCTTTCTAGGATGTCTGCGAGCTTTCTTTCCAGCCATGGTAGTGACGACGCACGTTTGCTTAACATGCGCCGAGAGAACTTGGAGAAGAAAACTCTACAAGAACTTTGATAACCCTTCTTGTTCTCGAATTTTTAATATTTTTGTTTTGTTCTCTTAATTCAAGCAAAGAATGAGATTCTCGCTTTAAAAATGTCACATCATTGATAATTTGGTCTATGTTATGAAACAATAAAAGAAGAAGAAGAGTATTGGAGAGAAAAGTAGGGAGAGAGAATTCTTATTGATTTGGGATGAATTACAGTGGAATAGAACCCTCTATTTATAGGGAGAGGTTGACTTAGCCACCAAGTAATAAACCCTAGAATCTCTCTAAATATGGACATTCACCATAAATAGAATTCTATTTATAACACTCCCCCCTGAATGTCTATTCAACAGATAATGTGCCTCGTTAAAACCTTAACTAAAAGAAAACCCAATGGGAAAAAAATTCTAGAAAAGGAAAAAGAGTACACATGTTTAGAAATGCGCCTATTGGTTGCCTCGTTAAAAACCTTGCAAGGAAAACCCAGTGGGACAAAACCTTGTAAGGGAAAAAGAGTGCAAGGCGCATTAACTCCCCCTGATGAGAGCATCAATTCACATCCTTGAGCCTTCGCATCCCGATCTTGTAAACTAGCTTCTTGAAGGTTGACGTTGGTAGAGATTTTGTGAACAAATCAGCCATATTATCACTTGAACGAATCTGTTGCACATTAATATCACCATTCTTTTGAAGATCATGTGTGAAAAATAACTTTGGTGAAATGTGCTTTGTCCTATCTCCTTTTATGAATCCTCCCTTCAATTGAGCTATGCATGCTGCATTATCTTCATACAAAATTGTGGGTAACTTGTCACATTTCACACCACATTTGTCTCGAATAAGATGTATTATAGACCTCAACCACACACATTCTCGACTTGCTTCATGAATAGCAATTATCTCAGCATGATTAGATGAAGTAGCCACAATTGATTGCTTAGTCGATCGCCAAGATATGGCAGTGCCTCCACAGGTAAATACATAACCTGTTTGAGACCGAGCCTTGTGTGGGTCAGATAAATACCCAACATCAGCATAACCAACAAGATCGGGACTGCAATTGTTGCCATAAAATAAGCCCATATCGGTAGTCCCTTTTAGATACCGCAATATGTGTTTGATTCCATTCCAATGTCTCCTTGTGGGAGCAGAGCTATATCTTGCTAAGACATTAACTGAAAAAGTTATGTCAGGCCTTGTAGTATTGGCAAGATACATTAGTGCACCAATTGCACTAAGATATGGTACTTCAGGACCAAGTAGCTCTTCATTCTCTTCTTGAGGTCAGAATGGATCCTTGTTCACATCAAGTGATCGAACACCACGGAGTATAATGGATGTGCTCCATCCATGTGAAACCGTTTCAATACCTTTTCTATGTAGGTAGATTGATGAACAAAAATTCCGTTTGCCAAATGTTCAATTTGCAAACCAAGACATAATTTTGTCTTTCCGAGATCTTTCATCTCGAATTCCTTCTTTAAATAATCAATTGCCTTTTGGAGTTCTATAGGAGTTCCAATAAGGTTTATGTCATCAACATATACGGCAAGTACAACAAATTCCGATGTTGTTTTCTTTATGAAAACACATGGGCAAATAGCATCATTTATATAGCCTTCCTTTAATAAATACTCACTAAGACGATTATACCACATTCGTCCTGATTGCTTTAGACCATACAAAGATCTTTGCAATTTGATTGAAAACATTTCCCGGACTTTGAATTATGTGCGTTTGGCATTTTAAATCCATCGGGAATTTTCATGTATATCTCATTATCAAGTGAGCCATAAAGGTAGGCGGTAACCACATCCATTAAATGCATGTCAAGCTTTTCATGGACAGCAAAACTAATGAGATAACGGAACGTTATAGCATCCATAACGGGTGAATATGTCTCTTCATAATCGACACCGGGCCTTTGTGAAAATCCTTGTGCAACAAGGCGTGCCTTATATCTTTGTACCTCNTATCAACTATATCTATTAGTAATTACATTTTGCTAACAAAACTTTAGTATACCCCTCAGCTCTCATACTACAAACACATGCCACCTTCTTTGCAAGAATGTCCCATGTTGTAGCTGTTTTTTCAAAGACTCTTGCATTTCTTTCTATCCACAAAGTATACACGTATTCTGCAACTACCATTTTGAGTATTCTAGCCATTTGCGATCTTCCCTTCGTCTTCTGTATTATCCATTGCTGTCATTCTGTCCATGAAGATAAGCTAACTTGCATTTGAATCCATTGCATGAGCCTGCTCCACAAATCTCTGCCATATGCACATTCTGCAAACATATGCTCTTTTGTTTCCAAAGCTTGTTTACAAAAACAGCATAGGTCATCTACTTGAATCTTCCATTTCTTCAGCCTATCAGCAGTTTGGAGTCTTTCATGCATCAGCAACCACAGTATAAATACTGCTTTTGGTCTAGCCTGGTTTTGATACATTAGTCCCTTTCATGCTACCTTTGGCATCTCCCCTATCAGCTGCATATATACCTGCTTGATCACTGTCTTCTGTTTATCTTGATTGTCATTAATTCCTGCCATATTATTTCTTGCTTCAAATATTTTCTTCAGCATCCATGATGTTTGTTGTGGCACCCTCATAGTATAAAAAGATTGATCTTTAATGTAGTAACTATGGATCCATTTAATCCACAGTTTGTCCTTCTTATTTGCCAGCTCCCATGTATACTTTGTTATTGCTGCTTTGTTCCACGATGCCAGATTAACCAGGTTTAGTTCCCCTGTAGCTTTTGGTGAACACATCCTCTCCCAAGATACCAGTGCCTTTTTGTAATTACATTCTCCCCTGACCAGACATAACTTCTGCAATAAGCCTCAATTGTCTTGACCACTTTAGTTGGCATGATGAAAATCTGAGCCAGTATGCTTGGATACCAAAGATAACATGCTGAACCAATTGAATTCTACCTGCATATGACAACTTCCTAGCTGTCCAAGATGAGATTCTTGCCACTATTTTGTCAATAAGTGGCTGCCATTGCATGATAGATAGCTTCTTGGAGTCAAGGGGGATGCCCAAGTATTTAAAAGGCAATAACCCTTGGTTGTACCCTAATTTTCTTTGAATCTCCTTTTGAACCTCCTCACTGACTTCTCCAAAATAGATAGAACTTTTTGCTAGATTAGCACTAAGTCTTGAAGCTGCTGAAAATATCTGAAATCTATCATGAACTTGACTTACTGAGGTTACATCTCCTCTTGGTAAGATCAGAAGGTCATCTGCAAAGCTCAAGTGAGTTAAGTTCAGCCTTGCACACAAAGGGTGGTGATAGTATGCTTTCTCCTGCTTTAAGGTCTTTAAACTCCTGCTGAGATATTCCATAGCTATGACAAATAAAAAGGGTGACATAGGGTCCCCTTGTCTCGGTTCCCTAGCTGCATCAAAAGGCATTGTTGTTTCACCATTAACAAGAATTGTGTAATTCACTATTGTCACACACTCCA